AAGGACCTAGAAAGCCATCTGTGGCCTTGAGGCCACAGGTTCCCCACCCCTGGTGTAGGCAGTTTAATAACCTTTTAGGCAGCAGATTGCTCTCCAAAATGGTTGGATGAGTTCACAATTCCACCAACAATGAATTAGTGTCCCAATTTTTCCTACATCCCCTCCAACATTTGTTGTTTTTCCTTTCAATCATTTTAGCTAATATGATAGGTATAAAATGATAACTTAAGTATATTTTAATTTACATTTCTCTAATCAATAATGATTTAGAGCTTTTTTCATATGACTATAATTTTTTAAAAAATGTCTTCATTGGAAAACCACCTGTTCATATCCTTTAACCATTAATCAATTGCAGAATGACTCATTCTTAGAGATTTTGCAAAGTTCTTTATATATTTGAGATATGAAACTTTTATCTGAGAAGCTGTCTATAGAAATTTCCCAATTTTCTTCTTTCCTTTTCATCTTGTTTTATTTGTACAAAACCCTTTTAATTTAACGTAATTGAAATTATCCATTTTATACCCCTTTGCTCTCTGTCTCTTGTTTATTCATAAATTGTTTGCCTATCCATATCTGATAATTAATTTTTTTCATATTCTTCAAATTTTCTTGTAATATCTCTCTTTATGTCTAGGTCATGTATCCATTTTGACCTCATCTTGATAAATGGTATAAGATACTAGTCTAGACATCATATTTTAAAAAATAATCAAGGAAAACTACTGCAATATCTTACAATCAGAGGGTAAAATAGACATTGAAAGAATTCACCAATCACCTCCTGAAAGAGATCCCCAAGTGAAAACTCCTAGGAATATTATAGCCAAATTCCAGAGCTTGTAGGTCAAAGACAAAATATTTCAAGCACCTGGAAAGAAATCATTTAAATATCATAGAGTCACAGTCAGGATTACACAAGATTTAACAGCTTCCACATTAAAGAAGGAGAGGTCTTGGGATATGATATTCTGGAAGGCAAAGGAGCTATGATTACAACCAAGAATAACCTACACAGCAAAATTGAGTATAATCTTCCAGAAGGAAAAAAATGCATATTTAATGAAACAGAAGAAGAAGCTAGCTAGGCACAGTGTTTAGAGTGCCAGACGTAGAGTCTGGAACACCTGAGTTGAAATCTGGTCTCAGAAACTTAGCTGTGTGACCCTGGGCAACTCACTTAGCCCTGTTTGCCTCAGTTTCTCATGTATAAAATGATCTGGAGAAAGAAATGCAAATCATTCTAGTATCTCTGCCAAAAAAGCCTCAAATGAGGTCATGATGAGTTAGACATGATTGAAAAATGACTCAATCAATGAAATGGAGGACTTTTTAGCATTCCCTGTGAAAAGACTAGAGAAGAATAGAAAATTTGACATTCAAACACAAAACTCAAGAGAAACATAAAAAGGTGTTCATGAAAAAGAAATCATAAAAAAAGAAAAAGAAATCATAAGGGACTTAATAAATTAAAATATTTACATTCCTACATGGAAAGATGATATATGTAACACCTCCAAACTTTATCATTATTAGGGCAGCTAGAGGGAGTCTACCATAGATAGAGAGCAAAGGTGTGAGTCAATTATGTTGGGATGATCTCAAAAAATAGAGAAATGAGAAAGCAGAATGTACTGAAAGAAGGAGCGAGGGAGAGGAAGAATAAGGGAAATTACCTTACATAAAAGATGCATACAAGGAAAAGCTTTTACAATAGAAGGGAAAATGGGAGTGATGGTAGGCAATGCTTGAAGCTCACTGTCATTTGAACTGGTTAAAAGAGGAAAGAATACACACACACACACACACACACACACACACACACACACACTCAATTGAGTATAAAAAATATCTATCTTTCCCAACAGGGAAGTAGGAGAGGAAGGGGATAAAAGTAAGAAGGATGGTGATAAAAGGGAGGATGAATTAAAGGAGGCAGTGGTCAGAAACACAACAGACTTTTGAGGAGGGACAAGATTGTACCCATTGTACACAATAATAGCAATATTGTAATGATGATCAACTGTGAAGAACCTAACTACTCTGATCAGTGCAATGATCTAAGACAGTTCTAAAGGATTCATGATGGAAAATGCTGTCCACCTGCAGAGGGAGGATTGATGAACTCTGAGCACAAATTGAAGTATATTTTTTTCACTTTCCTTATTTTTTTGCCTTTTTTTCTTTTGCAACATAGCTAATATGGAAATATGTTTTGCATGATTTTACAAGTATAATTAATATCATTGCTGCTTGTTTTCTCAAGGGGTTTGGGGAGGGACTGGAGAGATAGAGAGAATTTGGAACTCAACAATTTTTTTTAAATGAATGTCAGATAATAATTTTTAAAAAGAACAATAACATTTTTAGAGCTGGATGGTGCCCTATAGCTTCACCTGTACCAGACTGAAAATCTTTCTTTTTTAAATTTTATTTTGAACTTGACAAATATCAAATAAAATGAAAATTTCCTTATGCATAGAACAGAAAAAGATTATACATGAAACTGTAGATCTCTATTTTCTACAGTTTGCTTTTCATTTAAGGTATATTATAATTTCAGCCTGTAGTTTTCAAAGCTTTCCTGTTTGTCTATGATTCTTTTGGGCCTTCCTTTTGTTTTCTTCTCTGCATTAGAAAAAAAAAAGATGTCTGTGATGTATTTTTTAATTTCCCCCCCTACTTTATTCTTATATTCCTTTGCTCTCCCACCCTCTCCCTTTGGGGAAAAAAAAGAAAAGGAAAAACCTTGTAACCCATATACATAGTCAAACAAAACAAAGTTTTACACTGTCTGAGAATGTACATTTATTTTGTATCTTTATCATCTTTTATAAAGAGTTATGCAGCATGCTTTATTATCAGTCTTCTAGAGATCATAGTTGATCATATAATAGTCAAACAAAATAAATTCCTACACTGTCTGAAAATGTACACTTATTCTGTATCTTTAGTCTATCATCTTCCATAAAGAGTTATGCGGTATGCTTTATTATCAGTCTTCTACAGTCATAGTTGATCATTGAATTAATCAGAGTTGTCAGGTCTTTCAGAAATTTTTTTTTTTACATTGTTATTGCATGAATGGTCCTACTGGTTCTGTTCACTACTGTGTATCAGTTCAAATAGGTCTTCCCAGATTTGTCAGAAATCATTCATTTTCTCATCTCTTATGCAGCAATAATATTCCATTATAGTAATATGCAATAATTTGTTCAGCCATTCCCCAAGAAAACGGTGGCCCCTTAGTTTCTAGTTTTTGCTACTACAAAATATAACTACATATTTTTGTAAACATGGGTCTTTTTGGTGTATAGTCCTAGTAGTAGTAACAAATATAAAATCATCTGGCATTCAAATCCCTTCATAACCTTCCCCTGCCCATAGCTTTCTAAGTCTCTTTATACCTTATATTGCCACCCTTCCTCCATCATGTACTCAGAAATCTGGTCATCCTGTCCTCCTTGTTCCTTGTACAAGTCATTCCTTCTCTGAACTTTTTTACTTTGCCCCCATGCCTGGAATTCTCTCCCTCCTCAACTTCTGGCTTCCCTGGTTTCCTTCAATTTCCAGATATAGCCTCACCTTCCACAAGAAGCTTTTTCCAATCCCTTTTAATTCTTCCCTCCGGGAATATCTCCAATTCATTCTGCCCATGAATTATTTGTTCGTAGTTGTTTGCATGCTGTCTCTTCCGTTAGATTATAAACTCTTTGAGGGCAAGGATTGTCCTTTTACCTTCCTTCGTAATTCCCTGGCTTGGCACAGTGGCTTATGCAAAGACTTATCTCTGCATATGCTCAACTTAGACACCAGGTTTCCCATAAAACTTCCCACCCCTCCTGACTAGAAGTAATCCCACCTCTCCTTACTGATACTCTTTGATTTGATCTCTCCTATGCATTTAATATGGGCAGCTAGGTGATACAGTGGATAGAGCACCGGGCTTGGAATTGGGAAGACTCATCTCCTTGAGTTCAAATATGGCCTCAGTTACTTACTAGCTGTGTCAGCCTCGGCAAGTCACTTAACTGTTTGCCTCAGTTTCCTCACCTGTAAAATGAGCTGTAGATGGAAATGGCAGACCACTTCAGTATCTTTGCCAAGAAAATCCCAAATGGGTGTCACAAAGAGTTGGAGCTGACTCAAAAGATGGAGCAACAACAATGCATTTAATTACATCCTAATTTGTGTTATGCTTCTTAAATTTTTTTTCTATGGCTATCTCATTTTACCTATTAGACTGTAAGCTCCGTGAGATCAAGACATTTGTTGTTTTTCCCTTTTTGCTCTTACAGTAACTAGCTCAATGCATTTAATTTGTCAGGTCCTTAATAAATGTTTATTTCATTGAACTGAAATCAAGAAAGTCATAGAATAATGGAGTCAAGGATTATAGACTAGTAGCTAGAAGAGACCTTAAAGGCTGATGAATCTAGTCCTTACCAAAAAGGATACCGAGACAGTAAGAAGTTAAATGATTTGCCTAGGGTCACAGAGCTATTAAATCTGAGGCAGGATTTGAACTCAGACCTTCATGACTCCAAGTCCCCTGCAGTATCCACTCTACTTTACCACCTCTCTAGTACTTAATAGCTTCAATTTATCTTTATGCCACAAGAATCTCTCTCTCTACCACCCCCTACATTTGCAACAATATTGGAAATAAGCTATGATTTAATTTGTACCATTAAAGAAACCAAGACATACAGAAATCAAATAATATATCCAAGGTAGTGACAGGACTAAGTTCTTTACTCTTTAGGAAATGTAAGGAGATATATGATAGATAACATTGTTCATCTTTTCTGTATGCAGATGTTGGAGGCTTCCCAACCCTATTGCAGGAAAATAGCAGCAACACTAGTGAGACAGAAAAGTCATTTAGGTTTAAACAATCCTTTTATAAATAGATGAAAATTATAAAAAAAAATTACAGACTGGAATTTGTTAACTTGGTGATGATGTACTCAAAGTACCCTTTTCTGTGTTCAAAGGTTCCAGAGAATTAGGAGTTTCATTGATCCTTGGGACTATGGAATTTTCCATTTTGGGGGGTGTTCTGAGCTTTGGAGAATGTCTTAAGGAAGATCAGTGGTGGCAGGTAACAATTCATTGATTAAAATTTATAATGCTCAAAGCACTTTTACAACACACACACAAAATCCTCTTAAGGTACTTAAATTTATTACTTACTAGAAGAGGTTGTCAAAATATTTTTTCGTCTTTTGAAAGCTTTATTGAAAACTGAAGGCGAGACACTGAGGGGGTTAGGGTGTAGGTGGTATCTCTCACTCAGAGTCTGTTTCCTGAAGCAGATGCGTTAAAAATAGAATTCTGGATAAAGGAATAGGGATGGAGAAGCAGGTGTGAAGTGGGATGTTTTATTATTATTATCACCATTATTATAATTAACAATAATAATAATAGCCAACATTTATATAGTGCTTACTCTGTTTCAGGAACTATGCTAAGACTTTACAATTATTATCTCATTTTATCCTCACATCAACCCTGGAAGGTAGGTGTTATAATTGTCTCCATTTTACAGGTGAGGAAACTGAGGCAAACAGAGGTTAAGTCACTTGTCCAGGGTCACATAGCTAATAAATGTCTGGGGCTGTATTTGAACTTGTCTTCCTGACCCCAGGGCAGCTAGGTGGCACAGTGGGTAGAGTGCCAGGTCTGGAGTTAGGAAGACTCACCTTCCTGAGTTCAGATTCAGCCTCAGATACTTCCTAGCTGTGTAACCCTGGGCAAGTCATTTAACTCTGTTTGTCTCAGCTCCTCATCTGTAAAAATGAGCTGGAGAAGTAAACTGCAAACCACTCCAGTATCTTTGCCAAGAAAATCCCAATTGGGGTCATGAAGAGTTACACATGACTAAAAGTACAACTTCCTCACTTCAGTCCCAGAACTCTATCTACTGCACCATCTAATTGCCTATATAATAATAAAGATAAAATATAAAATTAGGTCTGATAAAATATAAAATTAGGACCAAAGGAACAGAATAAAGGGACTGAGAAGTGCTCTTGTACAAAGTCAAAGATAAGAAAATCAGAGTGAGAACTGAGTGAGAATAGAGAATGATGGTAGCTACCCCTCTCTTTTATTCTGTAACGCCTGCCTACCTTACCTCAACATGTTTTTGAAGAAGCATTATATCAGAATACATACTAATTGTAGTCAAACCTATGTGTATCTTAAGAGAAGGCTCTTGATATGCTGAACTTAACCCAGAGCCAGAAAAACAGTGCACATTTGGAGGTGCTGACCCATTTGGGAATGGCCAGGCCTTCACCTTCTTTCAATTACTTATGAAGTGAGGATAGGACACCAAGCTACATCCTGAGCATAGTAAACTACCTACCATTGCTTTACCAATTCTGGACTAGCAGCACACACTTCCCACTTTCAGACTTCCACAAGATGCCGGGATCGGTGCCTCTTAACTTTTCCACAGTGATAGAACCGTTCAGTTTAAACAAAACTTTGGCAGAATTCTTGCAGTAAAATTCTCTAAAATCCGTATTTGTAATGCCTATTAACAAATGACATAAGATTCATTAAATAAACAGGGGAAATAAGCAGACAATGTATCCAGTGTTCTCCAGCCTTCCTAGCCAGTGAGGTAGAACAACTATTTTGAATTATCATCAGTGGCTTGATGCTGAAGGACAGTTTAACCTTCTAAGGTCACTGGTGAAAAGAGAAAGAAGGAGCTGGCAGCCTCATCAGCCTAAGCAAGGTGTGTTGGAGTCAGGCTTCCAATCTTTACTAGACCAGAGGCAAAGCCTTAAAATAAGCCTTATTTTTCCCATCTGCAAAATGTCAAGAAGAATACCTGTTTACTTTCACTATTACTTTTTAGAGCATCAGGAAGAAATGATTAGTAAATGTTTTGCAAACCTCAATGAACCCCATAAATGCCAGCAATTTTTATGTGCTCCCTAATGGGAATTGGCAGTATAAAATTCCTCTACTCTAGAGATAAGGTTGAATTTCTCCTCTTCATTGTATGGAAGAATTGATTTCATCAGGGCTAAATATTAGTTTCACCTTACCTGAGTGAATGTTTTTCTTTCTTTGCAGGTGCTCAAAGCCTACCGACATCTGAGTCAAGGTCATGCATCCAAGAGCACTTTTCTTCTCTTTTCTCTTCTTTTCTTTCTTTTTTTCCCCCCTTCTGGCTGCCACTTCCACCTGAGGAATAGGAACTCCTCAGTCCAAATAACTGCAATTTTGCTTGGATCGGTACCTCTTAAACATTCCCACAGTGATAGGGCCATTCAGTTGAAACAAAACTTTGGCAGAATCCTTGCAGTAAAATCCTCTAAAATAATTATTTGTAATGCCTATTAACAAATGACATAAGAGTCATAAAAAAAACCAAAAGAAAATTTAATGTGTGTCAGGGTTCGTTGTAGCACACAATTTTTTTTGCTTAGCTTACATTTTATTCAAATAAAATTAAAAATTATCATAACTTTATATCAACATGCAAAGAAGTATTAAATGTTCATTAAAATATCAATTTGCAAAGATTTTTTACTGGTAAAATTATTACAGTTTTAATATTTATAATTAATAATGATGATAACAACAACATTAATAACAACAATAATAAATGTTTAGAGGCAGCATGGCAAAGTGCTGACCTCAGAATCAGGAAGAATACAGTTCAAGGTATGTTTCTCACATCAACTAGCTATGTGGACAAATCACTTAGCAATTTAGTGCTTTGGTAATTAAGGCATAAATCACAGAGTAGGTGCTATCTGTGTTGAGGGAGTTTTCCTAAGAAGGAATTCTCTATACCACTAAAATTAATTATTGTTGTAGCAACTTGACAAATTGTCCATAAGGCCTAATGTCAACAGAGACCAAAATGGAAGCTTTAACCTGCTCCATTCTTCTGACTGGCTGGAACCAGTTTGACCCTCATTAGGCAGCTGTGGGCCCTCAGACCACAGGAGCTCCCCGTATTGGTGCTGGATATTGTGCAGACACAATCAGCTTTAGCCCTACTACAGCTCAGAACTCCTGAAAATTCAAGAACAATTTAAGCATTTTGCAGCCTTAGCCTCCCTGGCAGCAAGGACAACAGGTTAAAAGTAGGCTATCATTAACTTCTGCACAAAGATTGTGTAACCTTGAGTTTATACTCTTAAGGTTCAAAGGCAGCAAGCAGTACAGAGACACTACCCAGGTCATGAGACTATGATCAGTGATAAGTGGGTGGGGCAGATGATACTTTAAAAAATTTTTTCTTTATTAATTTATTTTTGGTTTTCAACATTCACTTCCACAAGATTTTGAGTTCCAAATTTTCTCCCTTCCTCCCTCCTCATCCACCCTGATTGAGAAGGAAAGCAACTCAATACAGTTATACATGTGTAGTCATGCAAAACACTTCCATAGTAGTCATGTTGTGAAAAACCAAGTATATTTCCCTTAATTCTATCCTGTCTCCCCCCACATTTATTCTACTCTCTTTTGACCCTGTCCCTCCTCAGAAGTGTTTGCTTCTGATTATCCCCTCCCCCAATCTGCCCTCCCCTCTGTCATCCCCCTGCTCTCTTGTTCCCTCCCCCACCCCTGCTTTCCTGCAGGATAAGATAGGTTTCTATACTCATATGAGTGTGTATGTTATTCCCTCCTTAAGCCAAATCCTATGAGAAAAAGATTCACTCATTCCCTCTCACCTTCCCCCACTTCCCCTCCACTGTAAAAGCCTTTCTTGATAGTTTTATGTGAGATAATTTACCACATTCTACCTCTCCCTTTCTCCTTCCCCCAGTATAATCCTCTCTCACCCTTTAATTTTATTCTCCAGATATCACCCCTTCATCTTCAATTCACCCTGTGCCCTCTATTTATCTATCTATCTATCTATATACATACATATAATTTTTTTTCCCCTCCAACTACCCTAATACTGACAAAGGTCTTGTCTTTCCATGCAGGAATGTAAACAGTTCAACCTTAATAAGTCTCTTATGATTTTTCTTTCGAGTTTATCTCTTCATGTTTCACTTGAGCCTTGTATTTGAAAGTCAAATTTTCTATTCAGCTCTGGTCTTTTCATCAAGAATGCCTGAAAGACCTCTATTTCACTAAATGTCCATTTTCCCCCTGAAGGATTATACTCAGTTTTGCTGGGTAGGTGATTCTTGATTGTAATCCTATCTCCTTTGCTCTCCGGAATATTATATTCCAAGCCCTCTGGTCCCTTAATGTAGAAGCTGCTAAATCCTGTGCTATCTTGATTGTATTTCCGCAATACTTGAATTGTTTCTTTCTGGCTGCTTGCAATATTTTCTCCTTGACCTGGGAACTCTGGAATTTGGCTACAATATTCCTGGGAGTTTTCCTTTGGGGATCTCTTTCAGGAGGAGATCTGTGGATTCTTTCTATTTCTATTTTACCCTCTGGTTCTAGAATATCATGGCAGTTTTCCTTGATAATTTCTTGAAAGATGATGTCTAGGCTCTTTTTTTGATCATGGCTTTCAGATAGTCAATAATTTTTAAATTCTCTCTCCTGGATCTATTTTCCAGGTCAGTTGTTTTTCCAATGAGATATTTCACATTGTCTTCTATTTTTTCACTCTTTTGGCTTTGTTTTACATCTTGATTTTTCATAAAGTCACTAGCTTCCAATTGTTCCTTTCTAATTTTTAAGGAAGTATTTTCTTCAGTAAGCTTTTGGACTTCCTTTTCCATTTGACCAATCCTTCTTTTGAAGGCATTCTTCTCCTCATTGGCTTTTTGGACCTCTTTTGCCATTTGGATTAGGCTATTTTTTGAGGTGTTATTTTCTTCAGTATTTTTTTGGGTCTCCTTTAGCAAGCTGTTGACTTGTTTTTCATGATTTTCTTGCATCACTCTCATTTCTCTTCCCAGTTTTTCCTCTACTTCTCTTACTTGTTTCTCAAAATCCTTTTTGGGCTTTTCAATGGCCTGGGACCAATTCATATTTTTCTTGGAGGCTTTGGATGTAGGAGCTTTGACTTCATTGTTTTCTTCTGGTTGTATGTTTCGATCTTCTCTGTCACCAAAGAAAGATTCTATGGTCTGACTCTTTTTGTGCCTTTGTTTGCTCATGATCCCAGCCAATTACTTGAGTTTTAAACTCTTTGTTAAGGTAAGAGTCTGCTTCCAGTGTGGAGAATATACTGTCCCAAGCTTTAGGGGTTTCGAGCAGCTGTTTTCAGAGATACTTCTAGGAACCTGTAAATTTTCAGTTCTTCCAAGGTGGTATGATCAAAGGTGAGGTGTTTACTCCTTTCCTGGCCTGTGCTCTGGTCTATGAGTGATCACAAGTACC